TGAAGACAAGCCTTTGCCCTTTCAATGATAGAAGAGATCCAGTATAATCAACCGGCCACCAGGTAGCTGGCTGATTGCCCTGAGGAATAGTGCCCGTATCGAGGGCTCAGTGTTGGTCTCTGCTGCTGGAAAATTGGGCCAGTGGCCATAGCCAGGTCAGCCTTGGTGAGTGGAAGTCCATGTTGCTGAGCCCAGGCGTAACCTCCATCCCTGCCATCCTGGCCACTTTGTTTATGGACCCATTGGGTGATGACAGGGGTGACTGGGGAAAGAGGCTGAGTGGTGTCCACAGAACGAGTCATCGTATCCACTTGATTATTAAAATGCTCCTCTCCTGAGGTCACCCATTGGTGAGTACTCACATGAAGATACAAATATCTTCACAGTTTTTGACCACTCAGAGAGGACCATCCACATACCTCTTCCCCAAATTTCTTTGTCACCAATTTTCCGATCATGCTTCTTCCAAGTCCCTGAACATCCAGCCAGACCATTGGCTACAGCCAATCAGTATATAATCAGACATCTGGCCATTTCTTTTTCCATGCAAAGTGCACAACCAGGTGTACTGCTCAAAGTTCTGTCCACTGGGAAGGTTTCCCTTCACTGTTGTCCTTCAGGGATGTCCTAGAAAGGGTCTGTAGTGCTGCAGCTGTCCACTTGCGGTGGTGCCTGCATATCGTGCAGAGCCATCTGTGAACCAGGCCCTAGTCTTCTCTTCCTGTCAACTGATCATAGGGAACTCCCCATGAGGTCATCGGTACAGGCTGGGGAGAAGGCAGGGTGGCAGGAGTGGAGACCATGGGTATTTGAGCCACTTCCTCATGTAACTTGTGCCTTCAGGACCTGTTCAAGCCCAATCACGTATATACCACTTCCATCTGATGATGGAATGCTGCTGTGCACGACCCACTTTATGGCTAGATGGGTCAGAAAGTACTCAATTCATGATGGGCAGTTCAGGTCGCATGGTGACTTGACCCATAGTCAAACATTCAGTTTCTACCAAAGCCCAGTAACGGGCCAAGAGCTGTCTTTCAAAAGGAGAGTTGTTATCTGCAGAAGGTGGCAAGGCCTTGCTCCAAAGTCCTGGAGGCCTCCACTGTGATTCACCTATGGGGGCCTGCCAAGGGTCCAAACAGCATCCCTATCTGCCACTGACACCTCAAGCACTATTGAATCAGCTGGGTTTTGTGGCCCAAGTGGCAGAGCAGCTTGCACAGCAGCCTGGACTTGTTGCAGAGCCATCTGCTTTTCTGGACCCCACTCAAAACTTCCAGCCTTTTGGGTCACTCAATAAATAGGCTGGGTGGAGTAACACACTCAAATGAGGAATATGTTTCCTCCAAAATCCAAATAGGCCCACTAGGCATTGTTCCTCTTTCTTGGTTGTAGGAGGGGCCAAATGTAGCAACTTATCCTTCATCTTAGAAGGACTATCTCGACAGGCCCCACACGTAAAAATTTTACTGAGGTAGAAATTCCCTAAATTTTAGTTGGATTTATTTCCCATCCTCTGGCATGAAAATGGCTCACCAATAAGTCCAGTGTGTTTGCTGCTTCTTGGATAATGTCATCAATGTAATGGACCAGTGTGATACCTTGTGGAAGCAAAAAGCGATCAAGGTCTCTTCGAATAAGATTATGACACAAAGCTGGAGAGTTGATATGCCCCTGAGGTAGGACAGTGAAGGTATATTGTTGGTCTTGCCAGCTGAAGGCAAGTTGCTTCTGGTGGGCCTTACGGACAGGAGTGGAGAAAAAGACATTTGCCAAGTCAATGGCTGCTTACCAGGGACCAGGAGATGTGTTAATTTGCTCAAGCAATGAAACCATATGTGGTACAGCAGCTGCAACTGGAGTCACCTCTTGGTTAGGCTTATGAGAATCCACTGTCATTCTCCAAGATCCATCTGTCTTCTGCACAGCCCAAATAGGAGGGTTGAATGGGGATGTGGGAATCACCACCCCTGCATCTTTCAGGTCCTTGATGGTGGCGTTAATCTCTGCAGTCCCTCCAGGGATGCAATATTGTTTTCGATTTACTATTTTTCTAGGTAGAGGTAGCTCTAACGGCTTCTGTTAAGCCTTTCCCACCATAATAGCCCTCACCCTACCAGTCAGGGAGCCAGTGTGGGGGTTCTGCCAGCTGCTAAGTATGTCTATGCCAATTATACATTCTGGCACTGGGAAAATAACAGCATGATTCTGGGGACCCACTGGACCCACCGTAAGTCAGACCTGAGCTAAAACTCCATTAATTTCCTGACCTCCATAAGCCTCTACTTTAACTGGAAGACCACAGTGACACTTTGGGTACCCTGGAATCATCAGCTCAGAACCAGTGTCCGTTAGTCCCTGAAATGTCTGATCATTTCCCTGTCCCTAGTGCACACTTACCCTGGTAAAGAGGTCTCCTTGGGGAAGGATGAGAAAGTCTCTGAGTCGGTAATGTAGTGGGGTCCTTCCTCAAGGGGACCCGGCCTCCCCTTCCTTCAAGGGGTTCTGGGTCTGTAAACTGGCTCAAGTCTGGAAATTTATTGAGGGGCCATGATTCTCTGTTTTTATAATTCAAACTAGTCTTTTGTCCATTTGACCTGGAAGTTTTCTGTTTATATAAATTAAGTAGGAATGCAATAGACTTCCTATCAGTTTCACTTCTAGGAAGTGCATGGTTAATTAGCCAATGCTAGAGCTCTACACGAGTCAGACTATTCTGATTGCTGCTTTGTCTCTGCTATCCATTACAGTAGCTGCGGGACACCTTGTCTTTGACAGCTGAGTGCTGCCACTTGGCCCCTGCCACCTCGGCATCCAGTTATTCCCATTGTATTTAAATTTTATAGTTGAGTGATTGCAGTTCCCACTGTTAGATCTGACATACAGAGAAGAGCAATTACAGGGTTCTTCAAAGATGCAGGTGCTGCCCTCACAAATCTGTTTTGCAAAGCATTGGTCAAGGATATATCTTCTGGACCCTCCCAGCTGGGATGAGTAGGTCTAAAGTGACTAATCCACTCCACCATCCCAATCTCCCTAAGCCTTTGGATCCCTTCCTCTACATTAAACCAAGGGAGATCAGGCATTTCCAGCTCACTCATAGTGGGCCATCTTTTAATCCATATTTCAGCTAACCAAGCAAATAAACTATTAGAACCTTTTTTAACTCCCTGAGCTGCAACATTAAAAGCAGAGTACCTGCTTAGTGGGCTCAAATCAATAAATTTAGCCTGATCCAAATCTATGCTTCTTCTACCATTATCCTATACCCTTAATATCCATTCCCATGCCTGTTCTCCAGATTTCTGTTTATATAAATTAGAGAACTCAAGCAGTTATTTTCAAGTGTGCTGCACCTCATCACGGGTCACAGTCTCAACCTCACCTCACCCGCTGGGACTTTAGTTATAGGTCTAGAAACAAACAAGGGTGTTGGGGGTAGGTCCTGAGGAGAATCAACATTATCTTGCCTGGCATCTGCCTCAGGGGAGGCCATCAGTGTTGCCTCAGGCAGTGCAGAGTTTATCTCAGACAAAGGTTGAAAGGCTGATGGCATTATGGGTCGGGGAGGGGATGTTGCCACTACTGGGGATGGGAAGCTGTTCCTTCTGGCAAAAAAACGTTCATCAGAGTTTACAAGCTCAGTGTCCCCAGCTTCATCAGGGTCCTCCCACACATTCCCATTCCAAGTTGCAGGATCCCATTCTTTTCCCATGAACGCCTTCACTTTAGCAGTAGACACCTGGCGAGGCTGTGCATGCACCTTTCGTTGCAGGTCAGCCACTCGCATGGTAAGAGCTTGTGTCTGTTTTTCCACAATTTCAGCTCTTTCTCTGCCAGAGATGAGACTCTCACTCAGGACAGTCTTAGCAGATTGGAGGCTCAGTATCTGCTTCTGAAGCTGGGAGATAGAATCACTGAGTTCATCATTTTCTTTCATCACTTTGTCCACTGAACTTGGGAACAACCAACCAGCTTCATTATGTTCCTTGGTTCTCCATGTATGGTCAAAGGTATCATATATAGAGTCATTGAACTCCTTGCCTTTCATGAGCGATGAATCAGAAGTGTCAAATGCATTTGTTTTGCATAACTTTCTAAACAGTTCATGCCAAGGACTATCAGTGTTCTCTACTTCCATTAGCAGTAGAGTCCTTAGTATTTTTGGGTCTAATCATATTAAGCAGCCAACTCCCGAAACCCCACTACGAATGAAAGAACGCCATCCTTGATATTCTGTCTTCTAGAACCACTCCTGGTACCAAAATCTGTATTAGGGTTCCTAGATGGACAGAACTAACAGGATATATGTATGCATGTGTATATATATAAAGGGGAGTTTATTACATATTAAATTACATGATCACAAGGTCCCACAATAGGCTATCTGCAAGCCTGAGGATCAAGGAGAGCCAGTCGAAGTCTCAAAACTGAAGAACTTGGAGTCTGATGTTTGAGGCCAGGAAACATCCAGCACAGCAGTGTAGGCTGGGAAGCTAGGCCAGTCTCACCTTTTCATGTTTTTCTGCCTGCTGTATATTCACTGGTAGCTGATTAGATTGTGCCCACCAGATTAAGGCTGGGTCTGCCTTTCCCAGCCCACTGACTCAAATGTTCTGCAAGATCAATATTTTGCATCCTTTAATCAAGTTGACACTCAGTATTAACCATCACATGGCCATTCTGCCTGGAACTAATTTCTGTTCATTTTCAGGTCTCTATAAATGACACTTCCTGAGTGCAGCAGTCTTGTTTGACCCTTTCTGAATGTAGTTCAGTGTTTCAAAGTGTTCCCATTGTACCCTGTATTTCCTCTAACATAGCATGTTTCTATCAAGGCTGTCAGACTCCTGTGTTCTCTGGGGACTTAGGTGCTGTGTGTTGTGTTCATTCCTGTGTTTGCTGTGTGTGGAAGAGAGCAGGTGCATAAGAGATGATCATTCAGTAAATAAAAGAGCATGTGAACTCAAGGAGAGGAGCAGTGCCCAGGAGGAGGAGGCATGGTCGGCAGCGGGAGGCAGGTTGTATTGTGGTTGAGAGTACAACCCTCGTCAGATGAACCCTTGTCAAGTAAAGCCTTTTGGGTAAAGGCTTGAGACCCACTTCTCTTTACCTGGCTTGGTCTCATTTTCCCCATCTCTAAAATGAAACAATAATAGTAGTTAACTAAGCTCTGAGGAATAAATGAGATGATGTGTAGAGATAGAATCTTTTGTAGGTTTCTAGTACTTACAGCACCCATTACTCAGTATTTAGTCAGTATTCTAGTTATTTTTTGTCATCTGAATTTCATGAGGGCAAAAGTCAATCTTTTTTTTTTTTTTTAAGATAGGGTCTCACTTTGTCGCCCAGGCTGGAGTACAGTGGCACAATCATGGCTCCCTGCAGCCTCAACTTTCAACCAATCCTTCCATGTCAGCCTCCTGAGTAGCTGGGATAAGTGTGTGCCACCATGCCTGGCTAATAAAAGTCAATTCTTATTCATCATCTTATTACTTATTTTTTGGAGACAGAGTCTTACTCTGTCACCCACACTGGAGTGCAGTGGCATAATCACAGCTCACTGCAGCCTCCACCTCCTCAGGTTCAAGGTGATCCTCCTACTTCAGCCTCCTGAGTAGCTGGGACTATAGGTGCATGCCACCATGCCCTGCTAATTTTTATATTTTTTATAGAAACAAGGTTTCGCCATGTTGCCCAAGCTGGTCTTGAACTCTTGGGCTCAAGTGAGCCACTTGCCTTGGGCCTCCCAGAGTGCTGGGATTATAGACATGAGCCACTGTGCCTGGCCTTATTCATCATTTTATCCTTAGTGTTTGGTACTTAACATGTTCAGGAGCTATTTGTTGAAATGAATTGGTATATATTAGAGATGGGTCATTTGCAACTCTGAGTAACCAGATACACAACTTAAGTATTGACTGAGGCCCACTGGAGCCCTGTGATTTTGGGCCACTCCTCAGAAACATAGTTCTGAGAAGAGATCAGGTTGGCAACTTTTTTGATGCTGTACCAGCTGTGTGATACGGGTTCCAGTAGGTGTGTCTCCTTTGGGCCATAAGCTTGCTAAAGAATGGGTGGCAGTTCTCAAATTCTCATCTCTTGTCTGGCCTAGACATTGCCAGAATGGGAGTGCTTGTGGCTCAGCATGGGCGAGGTTCTTAGATGATGTGAGGGTAGTCGCAGCTGTGGATTCTGGGAATTGTTGATACTGACAGTGGGATCCAGACCAGATGTAGCCAGTTTCTTTTGATCTGTAGGGGAAAACTTGCAGAAACTGGAATACTTATTTTTCATGTCTTCATCTTTTTTTAAAAATTAAAATAAACAAATAAAAAGTAGCCTTAACATTGGAGTAAATGTTGAAATAAGGAATTAACAGTGGCCGGGCAGGGTGGCTCATACCTGTAACCCCAGCACTTTGGGAGGCTAAGGCAGAAGGATCACTTGAGGCTGTCATGCTTCTGTTCTGTTTTTTTTTTTTGAAATGGAATCTCGCTCTGTCACCCAGGCTGAAGTGCAGTGGCATGCTCTCGGCTCACTACAACCTCCGTCTCCCAGGTTCAAGCAATTCTTCTGCCTCAGCCTCCTGAGTAGCTGGGATTACAGGTGTATGCCACCACACCCGTCTAATTTTTGTAATTTTAGTAGAGATGGGGTTTCACCATATTGGCCAGGCTGGTCTCGAACTCCTGACCTCAAGTGATCCACCTGCCTTGGTCTCCCAAAGTGCTGGGATTACAGGCGTGAGCCACTGTGCCCAGCCCATGCTTCTGTTCTAATTGAATTTAAGCCCCACTGAGATATTCTAGTTTAGAAAACCTGGACGTGCTGTGATCCTGGTGCCAGCAGTTTTTGCCTTTCCTTTGTGCCACAATGGCAAGCTTTGTTCAGATTCAAATGGAGTAGCAAGAGGTGCTATACAAAGCACGTAGACCATTTTTAACTAATGCATTTGTTGAAAATTTGCATAATTTTCAGAGTTAGTTTTTTAAGAAAAGTCTGTCAGCCTAACCAGTAGAACCAGTTCTGCTTGAGTATTAAAGAACTATACCTTTTCTGCCTTTTTGCTGCATGTTGAACATGATAGTTTATGGAATCAGTGAGGAATGTTACCTCATGTTTCACAGCTGCAGAAGTAAGGTTGTCAACATCTGCTAACTAGGCAGTTGGTAGGTAGTGTCAGAGGTCAAGGCACAGAGGCTTAAGGGCAACTCTGGGCCCTTCTCTAAAACTGGTTTATGGTTTAAGAAGCTCCCACCACCCCAAAGAACAGGGATAGTACACAGGCAGCTCTCACTGGATGCTGGTTGAATTGGCTGTTAGATCCTGTGATGTGCTGGACCTTTCCACTACTCTCTCTGAACAGGCTTCACGAGTTATAGTCTTTCCATTAAGCGTTAGAGGAATCTTCCCTTTTCCAGTATATTGCAATATGAGTAGAGCATTTGGTGATGCCATCCATATTAGTGGCTAAGCCTAGCTATTGTTTTTTTTTTTTTTTTTTTTTTTTTTTTTTTTTTTTTTGAGACAGGATCTTGCTCTGTCACCCAGGCTGGAGCGCAGTGGTGCAATCATGGCTCACTGTAGCCTTGACCTCCCAGGCTGAGGTGATTCTCCCACCCCAGCTTTCTGAGTAGCTGGGACTACAGGCGCATGCCACCATGCCTGGCTAATTTAAAAAAATAATAATAAAAATTTGTGGAAATGGGGTTTGGCCGTGTTGCCCAGGCTGGTCTCGAATTCTTAAGCTCAAGTAATCAGGTCGATCCACCTCAGCCTCCGACAGTGCTAGGATTACAGGCATAAGCTACTGCACCTGGCCAAGATTATATACTCTTGAAAGGAAGCAAGAATTGCTCAGGCATACATACCAGTGTTATTCATGGTTAGAGCCTTTCCTGGAGTCCCACTGAACTCTCGAGTCGGTTGGGGTGAAAATTAGAGACTCATGCCTCAGAGGACCCAGTGGAGTGAGTCCTAAGAGGTAAGTCTTTCAGTAGGCGTTGAGGAGCCTCAAGGTTCTTCTCCATGCAACTGGCCAGTGTCACTTAGGTTGGGTGTAGGTGTCTTTTGTTCTTTTCCCTTTAGCTTCCTTTGGCCTCTCTATAACTCTCATTCGAGGCTTTCCCTGGTCACTTTGTGTTGCTCGCTTTGACCTGGTTTCAGGTGGCTCTAGCAGGTACTTCACTGATCATTCTGCCTTGTTCTTCCTTTTTCCTTTCATTCCTTTCCACATGACAGTGTGGCATCGAATAAGAACGCAGACTGGGCCAGGATACCTGGGTTTGACTTTCACGTGTGCCACATACTAGCAGGGTGTCTTCATCTATAAAATGGAGACAATCATGGGTATAATAACTCTATCGCAGAGGTTTGCTGTGAGGATCAAATGAGTTAATAAATAAATATAAAGCTTTTTAGACAGTAGCTGGCACTTACAGCCCGAGAAATGTTTGTTGTTATTCACTTCTCAACCTCAGTAAGGGCTGGCCCAGTACCCACTTTGGAAAAAGGAACAGTAGACTTTGACATTCACAGATTGGACATCCGTGATTTTTACAGTACGCAAGTGACTCTTGGTCACAGTGTAGTAATTTGTAATGCTACTAAGGAAGAGATTATATTTACTCATTCAGTTATAAAGGTTGGACAGCCTTTAATCACTCGTCCAACAAATTTGCCAACGAAGACAACAGTTTATACACATTCAGAATACAGCATGGTTAGGAGTAGGATGCACATAGGGGAATTCAAGGGGAACCCACTCCAAGATCCACATGTAGGACTCAGCACATCCAGATGCAGGTGCTCCTGTACCTTGTTGGTATCCACCTCTCCTCTCCTTCATTCAACTATGTTCATTCTCCTGGGATCAACAAGCAAAGAATGGTACATCTGTTTTCTCCTAAGAATATTGAAATATATTAGCTCCATATTTGTCAGTTCTTTCTTTGTTTTTCTTGTGGAGTTCAAAAAGCGATTGTGAAATATAGGGATGAAGAGACTATAGACATTGCCAGTGAATACTCTCTATTCCGTCCTTCCTACCCACCCGAACAGGTAACTTCTGAAAACCAAATTCAAAGAAAAACTCCAATTAAATATATTTTTGAGGAGAGGATTTCTTCATGATTCTTATTTGTATACCCTGATTTTTTGGAGTCCTCTAGGTTATTTCTTTTCTTGGGACTGGTATGGATTTTTGTTTGCGAGGGGAAGCAGTTGATAGTGGTGATGATGGTATTTGTTTTTTTCCTGAGTTGATTTATCTGTAAGAATTGCATAGTGTATATTTATAATTTTTTGAAGTATTAATCAGAGAAGGATTAGATACTCGTGATGGTTTTTTTTTTTTTTTTTTTTTTTGAGACGGAGTCTCGCTCTGTCACCAAGGCTGGAGTGCAGTTTCGTGATCTCGGCTCACTGCAGGCTCCACCTCCCGGGTTCACGCCATTCTCCTGCTTCAGCCTCCAGAGTAACTCGGACTACAGGCACCCGCCACCACACCTGGCTAATTTTTTGTATTTTTAGTAGAAACGGGGTTTCACCATGTTAGCCAGGATGGTCTCGATCTCCTGACTTCGTGATCTGCTCGCCTCGCCCTCCCAAAGTGCTGGGATTACAGGCGTGAGCCACCGCGCCTGGCCTGATACTCTTGATGACTGAGTACAGTGTGGCACTTTAAATTCCAGTGCTCCAGTGCTTATATAGGTTTCTATTCTCAATTTGTTACCACCTTTTTGCAGCTCGATCTACTGTCAACAAAATTAATAGCTGAGAAAGCTTTTTTGTGTGTGCATGCCCAAGCAAGTCCTTCCTCGGATGTGGTCTCTTTTTTTTTTCGAGACGGAGTTTCACTCTGTCTCCCAGGTTGGAGTGCAATGGTATGATCTTGGCTCACTGCAACCTCCACCTCCTGGGTTCAAGTGATTCTCCTGCCTCAGCCTCCTGAGTAGCTGGGATTACAGGCATGCACCACCATGCCCGGTTAATTTTTATATTTTCAGTAGAGATGGGGTTTCAGCATGTTGGTCAGGCTGGTCTCGAACTCCTCACCTTGTGATCCACCTGCCTCAGCCTC